GGGACGTGGTAGCAGCATCTACGATATGACATAAAGTTTTGCGAAATACATAGGGATCTGAATATGGCAAGACCCGTTGACTACAACCTCTCTCACAAGCATAACATGATCAAACCCAGAACTCATTCAGTATTAATCACATAGTGATGTGAACTAGATTAGTGACTCTAGTAAACTCTTTGGATGTTGGTCACATGGCGATGTGACCTGTGAGTGTTAATCACATGGTGATGTGAACTAGATTATTGACTCTAGCGCTGGGAGACTGTTGGAAATATGCCCTAGAGGCAATAATAAATTAGTTATTATTATATTATATTTCATTGTTCATGATAATTGTTTATTATCCATGCTAGAATTGTATTGATAGGAAACCCAGATACATGTGTGGATACATAGACAACACCATGTCCCTAGTAAGCCTCTAGTTGACTAGCTCGTTGATCAATAGATGGTTACGGTTTCCTGACCATGGACATTGGATGTCGTTGATAACGGGATCACGTCATTAGGAGAATGATGTGATGGACAAGACCCAATCCTAAGCCTAGCACAAAGATCGTGTAGTTCGTATGCTAAAGCTTTTCTAATGTCAAGTATCATTTCCTTAGACCATGAGATTGTGCAACTCCCGGATACCGTAGGAGTGCTTTGGGTGTGCCAAACGTCACAACATAACTGGGTGGCTATAAAGGTTCACTACAGGTATCTCCGAAAGTGTCTGTTGGGTTGGCACGAATCGAGACTGGGATTTGTCACTCCGTGTAACAGAGAGGTATCTCTGGGCCCACTCGGTAGGACATCATCATAATGTGCACAATGTGACCAAGGAGTTGATCACGGGATGATGTGTTATGGAACGAGTAAAGAGACTTGCCGGTAACGAGATTGAACAAGGTATCGGGATACCGACGATCAAATCTCGGGCAAGTACAATACCGCAGGACAAAGGGAATTGAATACGGGATTGATTGAATCCTCGATATCGTGGTTCATCCGATGAGATCATCATGGAACATGTGGGAGCCAACATGGGTATCCAGATCCCGCTGTTGGTTATTGGCCGGAGAGTTGTCTCGGTCATGTCTGCATGGTTCCCGAACCCGTAGGGTCTACACACTTAAGGTTCGATGACGCTATGGTTATTAGGAAGACTTGTATGTGATTACCGAATGTTGTTCGGAGTCCCGGATGAGATCCCGGACGTCACGAGGAGTTCCGAAATGGTCCGGAGGTAAATATTTATATATGGAAAGTTGTTGTTCGGGTTCCGGGAAAAGTTTGGTTTTTTCCGGTATTGTACCGGGAAGCTTCCGGAAGGTTCCGGGGGATTCCGGAGGGGTCCGGAGGTCCGGAAAATGTTCCACCACGTCCAATACAGCAGCATGGGCTGTAGGGGGGGCGCCCTAACCTTAATGGGCCAAGGGCACCAGCCCCCCCCCAAGGCCCATGCGCATGGGAGAGGGGAAACCCTAAGGAGGAGGGCCTCCACTTGACTTGGGAGGCACTCCTTCCCCTCTTGGCCGCCGCCCCCAACCCTAGATGGGATCTAAGGGGGGCCGGCCCCCTCTCTCCCCACCTATAAATAGTGGAGGGGTGGGAGGGCGGCCACACCCTTGAACCTGGCGCAGCCCCTCCCCTCCAACACCTCTCCTCCGCGTGAGCTTGGCGAAGCCCTGCCGGAGAACTGCCACTCCATCATCACCACGCCGTCGTGCTGCTGTTGGACTCTCTTCCTCAACCTCTCCCTCCTCCTTGCTGGATCAAGGCGCGGGAGACGTCTCCGTTACGTACGTGTGTTGAACGCGGAGGTGCCGTCCGTTCGGTGCTAGGATCATCGGTGATTTGGATCACGACGAGTATGACTCCATCAACCCCGTTCACTTGAACGCTTCCGCTTAGCGATCTACAAGGGTATGTAGATGCACTCTCCTTCCCCTCGTTGCTGGATTACTCCATAGATTGATCTTGGTGATGCGTAGAAAATTTTAAATTTCTGCTACGATCCCCAACACGAAGACGTTTGACTACATCAATCGCGTTACTTAACGCTTCCGCTTTCGTTCTACGAGGGTACGTGGACGAACTCTCCCTGCTCGTTGCTATGCTTCTCCTAGATAGATCTTGCATGATCGTAGGAATTTTTTGAAATAATGCGTTCCCCAACAGGTGATGTGTTACGTAACGAGTAAAGAGACTTCTCGGTAATGAGATTGAACTAGGTATGAAGATACCGACGATCGAATCTCGGGGAAGTAACACACCAATGGACAAAGGGTTTTACGTATGTTGTCATAACGGTTCGACCCATAAAGATCTTCGTAGAATATGTAGGAGCCAATATGAGCATCCAGGTTCCGCTATTGGTTATTGACCCGAGAGGTGTATCGGTCATGTCTACATAGTTCTCGAACCCGTAGGGTCCACACGCTTAACGTTCATTGACGATATAGTATTATATGACTTATGTGATTTGGTGACCTAATGTTGTTCGGAATCCCGGATGAGATCACGGACATGACGATGAGTCTTGAAATGGTTGAGAGTTAAAGATTGATATATAGGACGATGAAATTCAGACACCGGAAGTGTTCCGGAGGGTACTGGGTACATTTCGAGTTACCGGAAGGGGTTCTGGGCACCCCCGACAAAAGATATGGGCCTTATGAGCGAAGAGGGGAAACACACCAGCCACAAGGGGCTGGTGCGCCCCCATATGGGCCGGCCTAAGTGGAGAAGGAAAAGGGGAGGAGGAAAGTAAAGAGAGGGAATAGGATTCCCCCTTCCTTTTTTCGAGGAACTATTCCCCCTTCCTTTCCCCTCACCCCTCTTTCCTTCCCCCTTTCGTATACAAGGAAGGGGGGGCGCAGGGCAAGACAGGGCCCCTAGGGGGCGGCGGCCAAGCCCTAGGCCGCCCTGGTTGCCTTCCCTCCCCTCCCACCTATATATATGTGGGGAGGGGGCACGTCACAAGCACACAACATCAATTGTTAGTCGTGTGCAGCGCCCCCCTCCACAGTTTACACCCCCGGTCATATTCTCGCGGTGCTTAGACGAAGCCCTGCGCGGATCACTTCACCATCACCGTCACCACACCATCGTGCTGACGGAACTCATCTACTACCTCAACACCTTGTTGGATAAAGAAGGCGAGGAACGTCATCACGCTGAACGTGGTAGAACTCGGAGGTGCCGTACATTCGGTGCTTGATCGGTCAGAGCTGGAAGAAGTTCGAGTACATCAACCACGTTGTCAAACGCTTCTGCTTTCGGTCTACGAGGGTACGTGGACACACTCTCCTCCTCTCGTTACTATGCATCTCCTATATAGATCTTGCGTGAGCGTAGGAATTTTTTTGAAATTGCATGCTACGTTTCCCAACATATCCCTCATTTTCTTTTTAGTCTGCCTATTAGGTTTTTCTGAAGTCAAACTCTCCAAAGTTTTAGCAAGTTTATATAAAAATATAAACATTCACAATATAACATCAAGATCGTTAGATTCCATGAAATAAATTTTGATATTATATTTATTAGGTGCTATAGAAGCTTATACTTTTTATACATCAACTTGGTCAAACTTTGCAAAGTTTAACTTGAGACAAATCTAATGCACAAAGTAAGAGAAAAGGAGGAGGGGGAGTATATACTCTTACAAAGACCCGAGTTGGTGATGATTTATTCACACTCAAAGATTAGATTTTAGTTGTCAAGAAATTATTTGCCACAATTATGATATATTTTATGAAGTAGGTAGATGTATCGGGATCTTTTGATTATTATTTTTGATAGAAAGACTATAAGGGAACCCCCTACAGTATAATTGATGCAACAAACCCAAATTGCAAGTACCAAGCCTTGAACCTGGGTGGGTGGGAAGACACCAGCCCCTTCCCACCACTAGGCTATGCCTTAGTCTGCAATATTTGATTTGATTATTTGATTTGATTGATTTATGTTTTGAGATATTGTTTTATTTGCCCAAAGTTTAACTTGCTCGTGCAATAGAAAAACACTTCTATATCAAGTATATCAGTATATGAATTATGTAGCAATGTATGAATATTTGACCGCGGAATCGAACCGTCTGTTTTAAGAAAAGAAAATGTAAAGCATATACGAACACAAGAACAATGTGAAACTACCATGCACGACAACGTGGGAGAACACGGCTTACTGAGAATTATATTAGTCATAGCTAACTACCCATGCGTTGCAACTGGAGCATACATATTGTAGTGGTTCAACATCAATTTTGTATGACATATACATTGCACACATCATATGATTTAATTTGATTTGTGTATGGATAGAGGAAGTCAAAGAAAATTTTGATTTAGGTGAAGTTTTGGTAAGATTTGATTTGATTTGGTTTAAGTATGGATAGATGCAGATTTTTTTTATTTAGTAAAGATTTGGTTTGACTTGATTGAGTTAATGCAAGACGTTAGCTTTGTAAAAGTACCATTTGATTTATATTGTTCCAAGTTACTCTGAGAAATATTTGGGAAATTTCGAAAATATAAAAAAAGGAAGAAAATGCTCCTAGCTGTGTGCAGGCTGTACGATTTCACACGAGAACACGTGGCCGTCAAACGCATACAACAATCTTGGTAGGTGCTGTACTACTCATACACCGCCACGCGCTTCCAGGTGGTCCCGGGGGGCGCAGAAAACAAAACATGCTCATGGACCACGCCCATGATATTTTCCCACGATTTTTTGGCAAAATATTTTCCCACGATGGCAGGCCATCCTCTCCTCTCTACAAAAGCACCGGCAACCCCCCCGGAGAGGGAGCCCGCAGCCACTCCTTCCTCATCGGTTTCCTCCGCCGCGAGATCGCCCGTTTTCTCTCGATACTTCCGACGACCGGAGCGGAAGACGAATACAAATCCCGTCGAATTCGCCTGTTCGTCGTTCCATCTTCTGCCTCCCTCTATCTGTGTGGTGGTCACCCAATTCGTTTGTGTTAATCTCGATTCAATCGCCCGCGCGCCATGGGATTGGGGAGCGACGCGAGCTCGTCGTCGTCGCGGCTGGACTCGGCGCCGCTGCTGCCGCACCACAGCGCCGAGGGGGGGCACCTGTCGTCGCAGCCCAAGACCTTCGCGAACGTGTTCATCGCTGTGGTCGGCGCCGGCGTGCTGGGCCTGCCCTACACGTTCTCGCGCACCGGCTGGGCCGCGGGCTCCATCCTGCTCCTCTCCGTCGCGCTGCTCACCTTCTACTGCATGATGCTGCTCGTCGCCTGCCGCCGCCGCCTCGCCGACGACCACCCGAAGATGCTCTCCTCGTTTGGGGATCTGGGGGACGCCGTGTTCGGCGCGCCCGGCCGCCTCGCCGTGGACACCATGCTGGTGCTCAGCCAGGCCAGCTTCTGCGTCGGGTACCTCATCTTCATCTCCAACACCATGGCGCACCTCTACCCCGTCTTCGCCCCCTCCTCGAACGTCTTCCTCTCCCCTAAGGCGCTCTTCATCTACGCCATGCTGCCGTTCCAGCTCGGGCTCAACTCCATCAAGACGCTCACGCTCCTCGCGCCGCTCAGCATCTTCGCCGACGTCGTCGACCTCGGCGCCATGGGGGTCGTTGTTGGCCAGGACGTGTCGACTTGGCTCGCCGCGCACCCACCCGTCGCCGCGTTCGGCGCCCCCGCCGCGCTCCTCTACGGTGCGGGCGTGTCCGTGTACGCCTTCGAGGGCGTCTGTATGGTCCTGCCGCTGGAGGCGGAGGCCGCGGACAAGAAGAAGTTCGGCGCCACGCTCGGGCTGTCCATGGCGTTCATAGCTGTCATGTACGGGCTGTTCGGCGTCATGGGGTACGTCGCGTTCGGCGACGCCACGCGCGACATCATCACCACCAACCTCGGCAGCGGGTGGCTGTCGGCCGCCGTGCAGCTGGGGCTGTGCATCAACCTCTTCTTCACCATGCCGGTGATGATGAACCCGGTGTACGAGGTCGCCGAGCGCCTGTTCCACGGAAAGCGCTACTGCTGGTGGATGCGGTGGGTGCTCGTGGTCACCGTGGGGCTCGCGGCCATGCTTGTGCCCAATTTCACCGACTTCCTCTCCCTCGTGGGGAGCAGCGTCTGCGTGCTGCTCGGCTTCGTGCTGCCGGCCACCTTCCACATCAAGGTGTTCGGCGCCGAGATGGGCTGGGTCGGGGTTCTCAGCGACGTCCTCCTGGTGGTGCTCGGCCTCGTGCTCGCCGTCTTCGGCACCTACTCGTCGCTGGTGCAAATCTTCCACTCTTCCAGCGCTTAAATTCCGGTGTTCGCCGAGGATTAATTTGCTCGGTGCATTGGCTCTCTCATCCACGCTGGTTAACTTAAGCTCCCGCGTAGTAGTTTTCCACGCTACGAGAAGGGGGTCAGCGGATCAGAGAGGAATCGCCTGGCTCAGCTATTTGTTGATCTGGGAAATGGATTGCGTGCATTCGTTGGGAATTCTTGTTCAGATTGTTAGTATGAGATACTACTAGTTGATTGGAGGCATGGAGAAATCTGTATGGTTTTGCTACGACAGATTCCGATCATGTCTGCCCATAGCATTCTTCTACTCTGTTCATGTCCTAGATGTTCCAGCTGCAGTGCATATGGAATGGATGAAAGGATACGAATTTCAGTATTTAGTTACTTGTGCGTCGTAGTGTCAGCGTGCAAGATTGTGTCTTGTGTGTGGTTAATTGGGCTAGGCAAGCAATTGGGACGACTTACATTGCTTGTCAAAGCACCATTACGTGATACTCCTAGCATAAACATTGTATACGTTTCGAACTGTTGTACTATGTCCCAAGCAAGCAACGCAAGCTTGTAAAGGGTCCTGAAGGAATAAAATTGGAACAATGAATTGCTTTTATTTGACTTTGTCCATTGTTTCATGACAGACGTTCCTGAGAGAGTTCTATTACGGCATCGATCAATTGGATTTGAGATTCGCATCACGGAATATTACGAGTTCTCATGACATGATATTTTTGTGCTGATCTATTTACATTCTGCAAGCAGAAGGAACAGGGAAAGCCCGGAAGAAGAAAAAAGAGGACGCAGACCAACCGTGCAAGCTGCGGTAGCCCTGCGTGGTCGGTCAGTCGTCCTCACGTACCAGGCGAAGTATCTCTTCTTATCTTCTCCCCTGCGCCTTCCGTCACTTTTCTCTCGTCGCTTCTACCTTTTTTATCCAGGCAAAAGCACAACGTCGTTATCATAGCGCAACGATCCAAGCTGTTGCTGTCGTCCGGATTAGAGCTTATCTTTCAGCCATTCGACGGCTTCCGCTGAACGGCGACGTTTTTCTCCAAAGCTTCACCATAAACAATGAGGCAAACAGATAGCGACTCGTGTGTTTATTTCAGCATCCCGTGAGTTGTTTTTCTTTCTTCAGTGGACCAATTTCATACGGTGGTTTGTGAAATCGTGATCCCTAGCTCTCTCATGCTGATGCGTCTAGATGTTGTAATATCCCTTGGGCCTCAGCGTGATTCCTGGGCATAGAAAAGAAACAGAGAACATGGAGAAAGGACATCGAAATTTTCTTAGTCATCATACTCTCCGAATCGGTCCACCTTCTCAGTCGACATAGGCATAGTTTCGACTTTATATGGCTTTACTGTTGTCACTTTGTCATTTTTATATTTTTTGTCAGACTGTTTGTTTGATGGCTGTATGCATCTTAGCTATGCAGAGGCCGAGTGTCGCTCTTTATGCTTTGTATCCGTTCGATGCTACATTTTTAGTTAATAAAAACGTCCTTTATCAAATCCAAAAAAACACTCTGATCGTCGCCCTTGACTCTGCCATATAGCAACGCTCTCTGTGACGTCCGAATAATTAGACTACAGTAATTCCCTGCTAACGATGCCATGTCATCTCGATTACCGTTGATAATCTCGCGTTAGTTCGAAACCGATTCGAATTCAAATTCAAAATCAAGCAAACAATAAAACTTTTCAAATATTAAAACTAAAATGTTCGGAGCGTATCAAATATTGCATAGAAAATTTTGGTGGAGAAGCCACACTTTTATAAAAATGTAAAATACTCTAGATTTTTTTAAACAGTAGCAAAAACAATTAGTTGAATGCCTTTTACATTGAATAAAATATTAAGCTATTTTGTTTAGCTGCCCAAATTTATGTGGCAGTAGCTTATTTATTAACACTAAAGTAGGGACTACTTTTATAGTTTATAAAACTAAAATAAAAGAGGAACTTAAATTAAAACAGAAAAGAAATAAAGAAAAAAGAAAAAAAAGAAAAACAGAAAACAAAACTAACAAAAAGAAAAGAAAAGAAAAGAAAAAAGTGAAAAGAAAACCCCACCCCCTAGGCCAACCGACCCAACAGGCCGGCCCAGCCGCGCCCGCTACTACTATCCCCCATCCTCGAATCCTACACACCCTCACGACCGCACACTCCCCCACTCCCCATGTCTCTCCTCCCCCTCCCGATCCGATCTGGATCGAGGATGAAACCGCCCCCCTCTCTCTCGTGACGCCTCGCCCACACCCCGTCGCTGGACTCCCCTGTCACCGCGCGCCCGCACCGTCCCACACCCGACGCATCCAT